TTTGCCCATATTTTGCTCTGGCTGGTCGGCAAGTCGGCTGGAACTGAACAACCTTGCACTGTTTCACTGCAGGATATATAACAGGCAGTGGAGCAAGATATTCCAATCAAATTTAGATATTTGAAGCACACTCAGGGCCATATCACTTTGCGTCGCTTATTCATGGCCAAAAGCTGAGCCTCCTTGTCCAGAAGTGCTATTAATCTCACAATTCTCCTCCTTAAGTTAACGTACTTCAGCCTCCTGCATTTTCTCACCCTCTAGCTGTGTTGTCTTGGCAACTAGCCTGGTTCACACCAAAAGCATAAGGAGGCTAATATTTTCAACAGAAATTAAGGTGGTTTGTACAAGAGAAAGAGATCTAAAATTAGCACCGACTATTGTGTCTATTAACCTGCTTTACAGTTCATGGACATTATTCAAGAACTCCAAGATGAAATGAGGAAAAAAAAAATTCAATATTGAGATGATTTTCTCCTCTTTGATTTCCTCCTATTTGATTTGGCAAGCGTCCCGGTACCTTCTTTCACCTCTTCCATCTTCTTCCGCTTAAGAAAATTAACAACTTCTCCAAGAGCATGATCAACGCTGCATCTCCTTCTCCACAACAATTCTTCAGCAACAGATGCAGGGGTCACCTCTGTGTGCTCCAACAAGCCTTTGATTTCTTCCAAGAGAGGGTGTTCGCCGTCGCGGACCCTGAGATAGTTGGAGGCCAACTCTGGAAAAGCCATCGGCTTGAGGTAGGACAACTCAATTTGCTTGTCGATCCGACCAGGACGAATCAATGCAGGATCAATCTTGTCCTTATGATTGGTAGTCAATATGATGATCCTCTCCTCTCCACACCCCGACCAGAGACCGTCAATAGCGTTCAGTATTCCCGAAAGCGTACAGGCAGAGCCCTAAATAAAAAACAAAAAAATTCAGGAGCCTTAAAAAGAATAAATTAATTGCAGAATCGATAACGGACTAACCTTGTTCTTTTTTCCAGTATCCAAGGGAGGATCATTATTCATAATCCCAATTTTTTTGGATCGATCTTGGACCTCTTTATAACAGTCTATATCCTCAATCACAAGAACGGACTTGGGAGAGATGCTTAACACAACGTTCCTCAGCTCCGAATTGGAACGGATACTACTAAGGTCCAAGTCATACACATCATATTTCAAAAACTTAGCAATGGCCACAATCAAGCTTGATTTTCCAGTCCCTGGAGGACCATAAAACAAATACCCACGCTTCCAAGCCTTGCCAATCCCCTGATAAAATTCTTTGCTTGACTGGAACAGCTTCAAATCATCAATGATTTTCTGTTTCTCATCAGGTTCCATGGCAATAGTGTCGAAGGAAGCAGGGTGTTGCAAAAACGTGGATGTCCAATTGGACTCGTATTTGGAAGGGTAAGTGAAAAGCCTCAACTCCCTGTCTTTCTGAGTCAAGGAGGCGGATGTGTTCAAAACATGCTGGAGATAATCAGAGATGACTTCATCTCTGTTTTGGGAATTGAAACATAGCTCAAAATAACTATTTTCAGAAGAAGAAATGAACGGATTTTCTCGAAAGTTTTTTACTTGATTTTGAGAACGGATTAAATACCAGGTAACTTTTATGTTGCGGAAGGTATCCTCGACGACCACTTCGCGTTCGCCTTCCCGTTCGCCTTCGCATAAGGCAAAGGAGAGATTTTTATGCGAGCGAACTCTTGCGACGTCGACTTTCATTAGGCTGGCGGAGGGGAGATTTGGTAAGTAAACTTTGGCGGCGTCGAAGAGAAGGTTGCGTTCGAGGCCGTAGAACTCTCTGATTTTGAAGGTGGAGGTGGAGGAGGAATGGTTGGTGAGGAGATATTTTTGCGTTTGGGACCAGACAAAGTTTCTGATGGGTTGGGGTACCAGGTTGACGGTTGATTGGAGAAGAGTTACGGTACCTGAGAGAGAGGCGTAGGCGCCGAACAGAGTGGAATACGACGGCAAGTTTTGGAGGAGGGACATAGTAACAACAGTATCCTCCGGCAATGTTGAAACCAGGGAATATTTTACAGAGTTGTGCTGCTTTTAGGTGCGAGGTGGAATATGGTATACTTTTTCTTTTTTTCTTTTTTTTTTTCTTTTTTTTTCTTTTCTTTTTTTTTTTTTGAGAAAAGCAAAAACGTCCTGATTCTTTTCGATCGACGTGCCTGATATTTATAAAAAATAATTTAGTTACCATATAAAAATTTATAGTATAATATATTATAAAAAAATTCATGTCCTGAATTTTAAAAAAATTAAAATTTTAATTTTAGATGAGAATTGTTTTATTTAATTAAAATTTAATTTTAAATTTAAAAATGTATCTTATTAAATATTGATATTTAGATTTAGTGTGCATTTAGAATTATTATGAAATACTGTAATTATAATTGTAATTGATAAATTATATTATATTATAATTGTGATTAAAA